ACTGAATAACTGCCCATTTGCTGAATGAAGCAGGGGTCCTACGGCACATGTACGAGTCATCATGAGACCTGCACCTAGTGTGTTTCAATGATCAGTTTTCTACACAGGATAGATGTCACATACAAGGTGATTTGGCAAGAGTACAAAAGTGCTCTTGTTTTGAAGTTGCAATTCACAAAATTCCCCATTTTAGAAAGTCAGATCAACAAGCAACATACAGATATGGACAAGCACACCTTTAAACACCTGTGCTTATACACACCAAAACCACAAGCACTCCTTACGCAGCATTTGGAAAGCGCAGAATTTAGAAGAGGTTCCCATCACCCACACAGTGATCTGTGATCAGCGCCACCCACCTGCTCTGAAAGACCTCTTACGGACCTTTAGGATGGGACGAGACCGAGGGAAGCGTCTAATTAGGACCAATCGTATTTTCTTCTTAGAGCCTGTTACCACAATTACCAGCAATGAGTCAGATACATACACACGGCAATAACAGTAGCAGCAGCAAGTTAAGCATCAAGAAAAATATAAAGCATTATCACTAAAGATGGTGCAAACTATCAGCCCAGAAAGGTTAACAGGTTTTAACACCCAAAAGAAGCAGATGTGCTTAAACTGGTTCCTACTCTGACAGATTAAGGTACAACTATTGTGTACACTTGTTCTGATCAAATTCAGTAATCAGTAGTGGAGTGCTGCCACCTTGTGGCTAAAACTCATCAGCTGTTTTATGCTGTTTTAGGAATCAAACTGCTTTTCATAGCAGTCATCGCTCACACAAAGCCAATGAGCAGCAAGTGGGGGATAAAACCCAGTGAATTGGTAAAAAAAAATCTTGTCACTAGCTCCATCTGTGGCACGTGTATTTTAAAGTGTGTATGAGACTGATGTGAGAGATCCTGGTGATACTATTCTGAATCATGTTTTTCAGTTAATCTGTATTAATCAATCTCTTCCCCACAGGGAGAAATCACCAGAAATGGACTACAGTTATTGGAATACATCTCAAGTTCACCAGCCCCAATTGTCTTTCCAATGTGTTCATGAATTTGGCAGCATTATGGAAATTAACATAAGATGTGACAGTTTGTTAAAAGATCCCTTTGTATCCCTACAGCAAATCATTGGAATGGTTTGATGCAGGTATGTATTTTTAACATGCCCTATGTTACAGCGCCAACAGGATTAACGTGTGACGCTCATCCAGGTCAACTGGTTAAGTTTGGTTTAGTGAACATATAGGTTTAGCGACGTGATCTCAGCACTGGAGTCAGAATGGCTCAAAGAAAAAGTGGATTTGATCCACACTTATTATCAATTACCAAATAAACATCAAAACCAAATATTACCAAATAAACATCAAGCCAAATTCATTCAAATTCTGTTGATACAGACATGGCTCCCATTTTATCCATCTGTCAGATCTCTTCCAGGTATTGAGCCCCAAACTTGAGTAAAATAGAACAAATGTGACCAACTTCCCTTTTCAATTCCCCCCCACTATTAACATTTTACTCTGCATTGCTGACAAGGTTTCATGCTTCTGGAACTGCAAAGAAAGCATTTACAGTAACTGCAATGCTTTGCAGAGCTGAGTAACATACACCAGCATGTGTGTTGAATAAAGAGGTTTGCATGAGACAGTGGTAAGTTAAAAATTGCATACAGGATGCATTTTGGCCATCATTAACATGAAAGATAATTCCCTACCAGGACTGGCCTCCTGTACAATACTGCTGTCCTTGTTCAATATAATGTTATTAGCCAATGAAGAAACTATACCAAATGTTAGTGCACAAACAAGAGTCACCTGATACATGTGTTAAGTCAGTAACCAAAAGGCTATTGGCCTCAAATCTACATTAATTTATTTAATTAAGATTATCTGATGCTTTAAAGGTGATCTGCAAAGGGAAAAACTGAAACATCGATCCTTTTTGGTTGGCTTATAATGAATACAGTCTAACAGGAGTTTGATTCATTTGTTTAATGTCAGAAGCATCTTCTCTTCCTTGTTCACTTTTTTTGCTGGAGGTTTCTTTAGAGGACACAGAACTGGAATGGGAGTTCTCAGCCCTCAACTGGAAGGTCCAGGGCATGGAATCTTTTCAACAACAAAAAAACTTGTCTTTCAACTGCTTGTCAGACATTGAATTAAATTGATTTTGGCGCTTGAATAAATATCACTTCCCCTTTTACTTCTTTGGTATTTTTGATATCATAATCCTACCATCTCTCCATTTGTCCATAGAGTCTTCCAGGGAAAATAAGAAGATAAACCACCTGTATTTGTATGTAAAAGACAAGCAGAAAAGAAAAATTTTTAAAATCTCAAACTTTTGACTATCATAAAGCAATCACGAAAAAAAGCAAACATTCTTTGCAGGTCACCTTTAAAGTTAGTAAGATAAAACACATAATAAAGCTCCGGATTAACTACAGATCAACCAGGAAGTCAAGGGAGTGCTTAGATACAAATAGACTGGAGTCCAAATTCCATCCTTGGTTAGGCATATGCAGAACCCAATGGAGTTAATGGGAATTCTGCATAAATAAGCAACAGCAGGATTGGATCCACATACACCTCTACCCCGATATAACGAGACCTGATATAACACGAATTTGGATATAACGCGGCAAAGCAGTGCTCCGGGGGGGGGCGGGCCTGCACGCTCCGGTAGATCAAAGCAAGTTCAATATAACGCGGTTTCACCTATAACGCGGTACGATTTTTTGGCTCCTGAGGACAGCGTTATATCGAGGTAGAGGTGTATCTGTATGAGTCATTCCAAGATCTCACTCTCCTAAAGAGATTAAAAACAGAGAGTGATTCATTTGCCAAGATAATCAGGAAAAGACATCAGAAGCCAACATTACCATCCAAATAGGTTCTTGCCAGTTCCATTTCAGACTATACAGCTACTCATTAAACTTTTCATTTGCATCTTTAAATCACCCTGACTCCTATCTGTGGTAGACATTGCTAATCTGGGTACCACTGCGTTCCCATTCCTATTATCCCTCACCCACGCCCTCTCCACTGTGGACAGTATCTACCTGTTTGCTTTGTCTTTTGTGAAGGAGTTAGAAAGCTCTTTAGGGCAGAGCACTTCCTTTTACGACATTGATGGAGTCCACTGCGATGGGGATCTCCATTCAGACTGGTTCCTCTGGGTACTCTAGTAATATAACCCCCACCCCACCAGCTGACAATAATTGAAACTTACACTAGAGCCACTTCACCATCTCCTTTGCTCCTTTTAGCAAATCCTCTTAGAGCAGTAGTCTGGAAGCTAAAGTGGAGGATTTCCACTCTATGCAAACAGGTAACGCTTGGGGAACCCGGAGCGCCTCTTACTTTGTTTAGAAGTCTGCTTCAAGTATATGAGAAGCCAAAGGCTTTGGAGAGAAGAATGTTCCCCACCTGGGCTCCTTAGGCAACCAATCCTTCATACTGTACTAGCCCTTTCTACTCTCAGAAGTCCGGGAAAAGATGGTATGATATTACAATACAATGGGTTATAAACTGACTCATACCCCTCTGATAAACACCATTTCTGCTAAGCCTTAGATCAATCTGCACCCGAGAATGAGAGAGGGGAAAACTCCAGTACGAGATGTCGGATATAAAGTTACTGATTTTTACCCCGTCACCTGCATTATGCAAGGAGTATATGAAGCATATTGCTAGTTTCAATGCAATGAATATCAGAATAGGAAGTGATTGAAATGGTATGCACTTGGGGGAGGAAGAAGAGTCAGCTACACAAAATGGCTTCAAAGTACAAAGTTCTGCACAGCAGAGCAGATTGTCAGTTCTGCTTTCCCAGTTTTAAGGCTCCAAAGCTAATTTGGTTGACATAAAACCAAGCAAGGCAGCAGGGACTTTCAGAGGAGAAGAATCCAGGCAAACAGCGTGACATTGAAACACTGCCACATGGCCATACCTCAAAAGGGTTCTAAGATAGGACTAATCAAGTCACTTCTCCATGACGTGACTGCAATCTAAAGTCAACTGGATTTTTTCCCACCCATATTTCAACCACGCTATATAATTTTGCTCATATATAATTGAACTGCAAGGCACAAAGAAAGCAACTCAGCCACTGAAGACAAGCAGCAAAAATGTACGGTAAGAGGGACTTCAGGCAGAGCAGCAAGACAAGTTTAGTGGACAAAGGAATTTGCCTTCCATTTTATCATCTTTTTTATCTAAGGAAAAGAAACGCTGGCATCCTGCCACTGGCCCGACTTATACAATAAAGTAGTATTGTATAAGTGCCACATAAGCTAACGCTCTCTCCCCTATTTAGGATTTAGGAAGAGGTACTATATGGTGTTTGCCTAGTATCCCTTAACTCTTCCATTAGGATTTTCATTTTCAAAAGAGAGGCCACTTTAATCTAGTTTTTGAGACCAAGTGCCTGAAATCCAGTCAGTGTCCCTTTATCAGGGCTGAGTTGTTAAAGCAGAGCTTAACTGAAACACAACAATAATTAACCAACCATCAAATTCAACTTTTCTTAGTGAGTGAAAGGGGCCTAAACCATCAATTTTGGCAGAATTTAAGTTTTGTTGTTCTTAAACGGAATTACGAAGCCTAGTGCCTGGGTAGTTATCGTCACAGGGGGAACTGATGCAGTGCTTTCTTCCTAAATCTGTGGAGAGACGACTCGAGATGGCTACTGTGCTTTAGCTGTCCCAAGAAGCAGACGGAAGCAGACAAGAACCTGGTCAGTTTCACAGCTGCTATTCAGAACCCTGTGGACAGAAGTGAAACGGATAAGGATCACATCTGTTTCATCCCCTTGTTGGGAAGAGCCGAGGTGCAAGTGGCTGGAGCTATTTGCAGGGGAACAGGATACACCCCCTTCTCCCCAAAGAGGCACGATGTGGGAAAGGAATAAAGCTCTTTCCGGCAAGCTCTGTCCAATCCAGAAATGTGACTTCTTCATCCCCAGCCAGCAACTAGCTGCAGCCAGATAGAGAAGATGGAGACCCTGAGCAGGGTCCAGGGGACAGCACCTTGATAGGAGTCTCAACACACACTGTCTTCCCATCAGCCAGAGGGATAAGCTTCTCAGCAGGTTATTACCCAAGCTTCACAGATGGACACTCTACTTACATCTTACTACCCTGTAGCTATCAGGTGTCTGGGCAATTTACCAGCCCTGTAAACAGAGAATGAAAAATACTCCCGATCAAGAGTCTTGTGGATTAGAAATTAGTCAACAAGCAAACTCTAATGCAGTGTGGTGGAGTTTAATCCCAGAATAGGAATAAAAAATAGGCCTAAGAGCGATGCAAAGGCAGCCATATTATTGCTCTAAATTATCAGGTTTTATTGGAACCCGAAGTAGAACAGACACGCAAATGGAACTTCCACAGGTGTCCAATTTTAAAGGAAAGCTGCACTCATTCTGTTCACATGGTAAGAACTCCT